TTCTAATTCTCTCAATGTATTATAAGTTACATTATATGTGAAAACTAATTCATTTCACCATGGCTCATTTTTTCATATAATTAGTGCGGAGTTCTTTATAAAAATTCACAACCAAAAAATCAGCTGTGCGTTTGAAGTCCAATGTTATCAGTGGAAGATTAAGCCTTAAACCTGTACACGAAAATGATGCTCTTCATTTTAAGTGTAAACTCAGGACCCGGTATTTGGGAAATAAGTTTCAGTTATAAATCGCTTGATATATGGGCTTCACTAATAGTACATCGGGGATGGATGCACATTCGAGCGCGTGGGAAGGTCGCACGATGAATCGGAGATCGTGAGATCTCTTCTCTATGCACACTTTCTACGCGATAAGCGAGCGTGCTACAGCGAAGGGACTGACCGACCAGTTTCAGACACACTGAAAATAATAGCGATCGCTTTAGTTTACAGTGCGTAATGAAATTCCGTGTTCTCGTGACCCACAAGGATGATAGGTACTTGCCGCACGAACACCGGTGATACTTTCCAATCTAATCGATATAAGAAAATATAACATACCGGACGATGCCTACGTTTTTCTCTTTTATTAGGGTATTCATTCACTTTATATCCATGTTCGAACTCTGCCCTGAATTTTTTGTTTAAATTCTGTCGATCCTCTGGAGTTTATCTCTTTAAAGAAGCGTTGAGATACGTAAGGAATGTTAATTTTTAGATAGAAAACTTTTGTGCTTTTTAGTTTATATATCCAGTTTCTAATGATCTAGTTTATATTCCGATGTTTTTTTTTTTTTACATTGATACATAAAGTGAATGCCACCGTGAACACTATACGTAATCACATATTGAACTCATGTTGATTAATGACTACTGTAAAATGTGTTGGTAGTTTAAGATTTCTAACGCGGGAATCCTGTTCTGCAATGTTTCTGTCCCGGTTAACTATATTACACATCATTAGAGATTTTGCAGTACGTTTTATAATGTATTCATGCGCTCGTCAACTTCGCATTATGAGAACTTAAGTAACCTTTGGACAATCTTTTCTATGCGCATAGATATGTATATTAATATTTACCGCAACGATGTGGTTATTATATCTCACTGCACTGGGAAAATATTAAATTTTAATAAATATTCGTTTGAATAGTAAATATATTTACTAAATGTAAACATATATAAGTATTTAATACAAAAGCCATTAATTTAACTATTATTTTTTTATTGAGTTTAAATATTTATTTATTATAAGTAAACATTTACTTAGTAATTTCAAAGAAATTTGTATCAAGATTTAGTAAATTTTTTTTTCTA